CAATTCGCTATCATGAAGAAAAAATACTAACAATCTGGACAGAAAATGCCTTTAATACTGGTTTAGAATCTATACTACAACATGAAAAGCTCTGTCTTCCATTTGGTCTACTTCTCTATGTTTGGCTAGCCATTTTCTTAAGTATAACTTGGTGGATATAAAGGGCTATTATTAGGCTGGGCTTTTGTTTTACTGTTACCCATATATATTTTCTACTGTTTTGCTTGATCTCCATGTAACGGAAAAAAAAAATTAATCTAACTGCACCAAGTGAGCTATTCTGGGCAATAAACTTTTGAAGTTTTAAAGTATTTGTTGTGTGCTTATTAAATTTAGCTATGGACTAATTGGAGGTACAGGTTAGAGAAAGAAACATTTAAAAAAGTAACAAGTACTAGTGTTGTCATAAAATAGTGTACAGGCGTGTTATTTTTCATGATGCTGATCCATCATTTTTATGAATGTGGACTTCTGATTCCGCATTTTCAGCGGGAAAATGAAGATAGCACCAGTAATGGAAACTGCTCCTAGAAGGAGAAAGCCAGTTTCCACAGTTGGTTATACACTCGATGGTGACCAGAAGCATATTTCTTCCGCTCATGATCCAGCCCATTGTCTCTGCAGCTACAAGGGGCTGAGTCAGATTCTCCCTTACATATCAGTGTAACTTTGGACAACAAGAAGAGCAAATATACAGTGATGGGGCTTAGCCAACCAGTATGGTGGCCCAGGAGGATCTTGCAAAACCTGAAAAATCACCTCCTGTAATGTCCTCCCACCTCTTCTGCTGGCTCCTGAAAACCTATTTTGAGAAAACAGTAAGAATCTATGAGTGTTTGCATGATGCCTTGCTATTGGCAGCCTACTGCTACCTTTTATAGAGCTGAGAAACCAGACCAGGACTAAGTGACCACCGGATTAGAGGACACAATGGGGTTCAGCTGCCACGAATGTTCTTCAGCTAAAGCAGAAAAGGATTTGTATATGTCAAGGTCATCCTGTCCTCTCCCATTCACCATGCAGTGCAGATGCCTTTAGGTAGGCATTATGTTCTTAGCAGGGTGATCACTTAGAAGAATTTAGTATGGTTTTAGACAACTGCTAGTACAGACCTTTAATGAAAAAACTATTTGCCAGTACCTGAAATAAATTCTTCCTGTAAGTAGCTGCAAGTGTTGCCTGAAGCACATACCTGCTTTTAGCCATGTACCATGTAGGAACTCCACCTGTCCATCAATTTTATCAGTTGCTACAGATAGAAAGAAGCTGACAGGCACAAAAGCTAATCCCTGTTAATGATGCTGCCTCATTTTTGTACCATATTCCTGTTCTGCAGTAAGGAATAGATTGGGTTTTGATACTACTGTCTCTGGCTAAAGCGTACCTTCTAGCCTGAAAAGCATTTCCAGTGTTTTCCGAAGATGAGAGCTCTGTGTAAAATCTCTGCTGTATATAAAGTGTCCTCAGTCACTGGACTAAGAAATTAAAAGGACCGGTGCAAGTTGGTGGTAGAGACCTCTGTAGAAAGTAGGTGCAAAAGTGCATCCCGTCTCTGAGGAAACTCCACAGCTTCGGAGGTTTCCCTCTGCAGCTGAAGGTCATTAGCTCTACTGTAAAGGAAGAGCCAGTGTCTGAATGGCTTTCTGACTGCTTGGGAGAAGCAGCTCTGTAAAAAAATGACTGCTTTATTTAATCCCAAGCGTTTCTGCACTTTTAAATGGCTAGGGGGTTCCCGGGCTCTACAGTAAAAGTAAAATTGGTCATTACCAAAGGAAAGTCTACTACTGGGTGCATGCACCTCTGCAGTTTGTCTGGGCTGGGGAATCCTGAGCGTTCTGTGGCAGAATTGCCACAGGACTGGGCTTATGTTTTGCACAAGACATTCCTGGCATCTCTAGTAGGTTGTTTAAAGCTCCAACTTTACATATTACTTTTTTTTTTTTTTTTTTTTTACTACTGGATCTACCTTCTGTCTTACTGTGGCGGCCTAAATATAAGACCATCTCCCAGAAATGATGATGACAACGTTGTTTTCTCCTTGCATGCACTCCAGCAGCAGATAGGTAGTGTGACATTTGTCAGCGATGGCCTTATATGGCTGGAGGTGTTTGGTCCCAGGTGCCCAGGGACAGAGTAGCAGCTGAGCCAGAGTAGGCAGCAGGTGGGGTGGGATAGTGATAATGCAGGGTGCTAAAGAGATAAGAGGAGAGTTTTCCTCCACTGTAAAAAGGTGCTGTGGAAGGAGCTTAAGGAGGAAGCTGTAGAGCTGAAGTTTGGCAGTTGGTGTGGGGAGGTCAGCCAGCAGAGAGCGTCACGGCAGGTGAGTGCACCCAGAGGGGCAGGGTGTCATGGAGCTGAGAGGGGGTTTGTGGCAGTGCCTGGAGTTTGTGAGATAGGAGAGCTGTGCCTGGGGTTTGAAGAGCAGGCGAGCTGTGGTTTGTTATGCTGCGATGTGGTGGAGGGGCAGACATGAGTGTGGGGCTGCTGTTGTGGATTTGGGGCAGGATGTTTGTAGGCTCTGTAGCTCTTCTGCACCAAAGGTGAAATGAGCTTTGTTCATACATTTTAAAAGAAAGACTGGCAACTTTGGATGATCTCTGCTGCTGAGACAGTAATTCCTTAGTACTGAAAAGCCAGAATAAACTTGTTGGTCCAGCCTGTGGCTGCGAGCACTTACCCACGCAGGAGAAGTGCTGGGCTGGGTGTACCCATCAGTAGCCTTGTGGTTTGCAGTCAGTCTTCTGAATTTGCTGTCTCCTGCTTCTTCCCCGTGCCTTGGGGTAGGTCATGCTCACCCTGTTCAATGGCAAATGGTTGCCCAGTGTGCTGACTTGGCTGCTACAGCTGGGGAGGGTTCTGTCATTAGCAGGGTCAAGTCCTTAGAGAATTGGGCTTTGCTCTGAACAGGATTGGAATTTACTTCGGAGAGTTCTAGTGACTGAGCTAATGATGATGTGAATTTGCTGTCCTTTGGTTTGAGGCTGAGAAATGACTGCTGATTAGGACCCAAAGTACGTAAGGCACCATGTGGTTTGCACAATGCAGCAGTGCTCAAGCCAAAGTTTTGTCTGTCTTACACTACTTGGAAATGTGCATGTGCCGTGGTTAATTAATGGTCTAGCCTAATGAATATGGAAGAGGAGTGGGGAGACTTACAGAATAGCAGCTATGTGACTTAATGTCAAACTGCCTGAATTAATATTAAACTATAAGTATTTACACAGAGGGTGGGTTTTGGTTGGTCTTGGATTTTTTTATGATTTATTCCAATTTCTATACAGTTTTATAATATAAACTTGGAAGAATCAGTCACAGAAATTTCAGCAAAGGAAACGGAGGCTGTTCTGAGAAGAGCAGAACTTACTTGTCATGTGTAACGCTTTCAGAATAATGCTATAATTGAAAGTACTTTTTTTACATTCCCAGACAAATTGAGACCAATTCCTAGGCCCCTCAAGGCAGACTGCGTGTAGGCTCTCTGTTTCTTTCTGACCTGTGCTTGCTAGCCTGGTGTTTAATGACAAGGCACCTGTGATTTGAGGTTTACTTTTTTATTTTGTCCTCACAGTGATAGCAAATGCACAGTTACTACATACATAACTATACAATAAAGAAAAAGCAATATTTGGGGCTCCATTCATTATCCCTCGGAGCCAGTTTCTGCTTTAGTAGTTTATCAGCAAAGTATTTTATGGTAGAATTAATCCAGTGGGAGCCTCCATTAGGAGGGTTGAACATCCATCTGTTGATACATCAGATACTGAAGTTGCTGATCCCTCTGTAGATTCCTGTTCTGTTGGCAGGCTGAGGATGTATGCAATGCAGTCTTTTGCTTCACGCTGTCCAGGTGACCCAGGGAGTGCTGGATGCCCTGGATAGCCACCGTGTCTGGGGGAGGATGTGTTTTGCCTGGTTGCTTATCTTGGGCAGCCGCAGGATATCCAGGAGACCCTGAAAAGGGCAAATGAGGCTGTATAAAGGAAACAAGCTGAAAGAGTTGATTCCTGACTGTCTACCCCTAAGTCATCTGCTTGTGCTGCTCTGACCGGGAGTGACCCTATGAGAAGCAGTGAAAATGCACTAGTGTAAAATTTGAGGAGGATCTGAATCCAGTGTGTGCTTCAGAAAAGCAGTAACATGAGCAAATGGCGAGGATTAGGAGGTCAATGGGAATTGAGCAGCAAAGCACTGGGGAGGGATGTGCCTTCTCTAAATGCTGCACCCTCCTCATGCAAATGGCCTAGGGGGTCCTCATTGCTTCTTCAGTATATGGCAAATACTTAAACGAGGGTGGCTGAGTTACCTGGCACTGAAAAAGCTGCTGGGAGACACAGCAGCTTTCTCTCCCTTTCCTTCAACCTGCCAGGAGACATGCTTGTGCCGTTTCTCTCACCAAGGCCTGAGGGACACATCCCATTTTCTGCCTATGCAGTGGCAACTGTTGAACAAACTCAGTTTCTCACAGAGATTAAATGATTACTGTGATTCCAATGCAGCTAAACCAGTAAATACAGAGGAGCTGCTGCTGAGCGTCTGACTACAGATACTGTTGACTATCTGACTACAAAGAAACCCTTTACTGTATAAAAAGCCTTCCTGCTCCTATGGGTTTAATCAATGGTAAATAGAGGACAGAAGTATTCAATAAGAGGTGGCTGTCATTCAATGTGTACATTACCTCTGAGACCTTGG